ATGTCCCTTAAACCTTCATCACTCTTTCTTCTTTTTTCCCCTCTCATCGGATAATTTCAAATGGTCTGTCTTTGGGTTTGCTGATTTTTCTGCTTGATCTAGTCTGCTGTTGAACACTTCGACTGAAATTTTTAGTTCAGTTATTATATTCTGCAGCTCCAAGACTATTGTTTGGTTCTTTTAAAATTTTCTCTCTTTGTTGAAATTACAATTTCATTTATGTATTATTCTCCTGAGCTCATTGAGCATTTTTATGACGGTTATTTTGAATTCTCTGTCAGGTAATTCAAATATTACTATTTCATAAGGGTCCATTTTGGAGCTCTGTCTTACTTCTTTGTTAAACTATGTTTCTCTGTTACTTCTTATTCTTTACTCTTTATGTTGGTATCTGTGCAATAGAAAAAATAACTATCTCTCTTAGTCTTCAAGACTGGCCTCATACAGAAGAAGACCCTCAGCAATCAGCCTGGTCAGAGATTCTCGGGGGCTCTTCAAATCTTCATATAGTCCCAGCTGCCTTTTGTTTTTAAGCATCTCTCAGGCATCTAGAATATGATGGGTCTTGTCAGTAATCTGAGACAGGTTAGACAGAAGCCCAGTCCCTTGGACATGCCCCAGAAGAGTTAGAAAGTTGGATGAATGGTCCAATTGTTTCCACCCCAAAGTGAGAAGCTGGGATATGGGATTTATTTTCCTGCTTGCTTTGCATTGAGCCTTTTGGAAAAACTATGGTAAGTGTTTTCATGCTAGTCCAAGATACCATCTTTGTTCTTAAACCATGCCCTCCTAATATCACCACTCTACACCTCTGTCTTGACTTCTCATCACTGAAACCTATAGTGGCAAATGAATAGTAAAAAGGGATGGAAAAAGAAGCTAGAAAAATAACTTAGTAGATACATGCAAGAAATTTTACTATCAAATGGAAAAAAAAAAAGTTTAACAATACAGTAAAACAAGAGGACTGTCTTTTTTTTTTCTTTTTCTTTTCTTTTTTTTTTTTTTGCCACAACAGAGGCAAGGAACAGCAGACAGTTTTCCAAATTTATTTTTTACTGCAATTTTTAGGCAAATTATTCACTACTAATTTTCAATCCAAGTTTGGAATTTAAAGAGGTTTGTGGAACTTCTACACAACTTTCTCTTTTTCATGAAGCTCTCATAGTCTCGCTCTTTTTTTATTTTATTTTTTTTGAGACGGCGTCTCACTCTGTCGCCCAGGCTGGAGTGCAGTGGCATGATCTCGGCTCACTACAAGCTCCGCCTCCTGGGTTCACGCCATTCTCCTGCTTCAGCCTCCTGAGCAGGCTCCAGCCACCACGCCCGACTAATTTTTTTGTATTTTTTTAGTAGAGAGGGGTTTCACCTTGTCAGCCAGGATGGTCTCGATCTCCTGACCTCGTGATCCACCTGCCTTGGCCTCCCAAAGTGTTGGGATTACAGGCGTGAGCCACCGTGCCTGGCCCAACAATTCTCAAAAACAAACAAACAAACAAACAAAAACCTGGATCAGTAGCATGATTAGAAACTTCTTGTCATTATCTGATGCATCCATGATAGAGATAGAGGCAAATGAAAATACTTTGATTTTGCTTGTTTCACTTTCCACATCTTCATCCATGTGGTTATCATAGTTCTGGCTCTGATTAAGTTTGGTATACTTCTGGTAAGTATGCATAGATTATGTTTAAATTATAAAGTGTATTTTAATAATACACATTGCCAATGACTAAGTGAATTTTGAAATTAGGGTCATATTCAATATCAAAACGAATAATGATATAAACATAATTAGAAATAATTGGGTGAGGGGTGATATATAATGCAAAACAGTAGCCATGAACATTAATATAGTTTCTCATGTTTAAATGCCTCAAGGAAATAAGACTAATATAAAAGAAGTGAAAGTGAAATTTTAAATCTCAACAATTAGTATTTGTTGCATTACTATTCAAGAAATTTTATTTTTTTCTGTACTTGCAAAGTATAGAATACTATAATAAAAAGAGATATGTACCATTCTGCTCATATCATAAGCACATTTGTATAAGAAAGCATACTTCCTGCAGAAACATCTCAATGGTTCTATTGAGATTGTGAGTGAAAGCATTAAGGAAATATTTTGAGACTTTTAAAAATATTTTCTACAAGATTTGATAATGCTAATTGCATATTTATACATTATTGCATCAACTGAATTTAGAAGTATACTTCATCTTTTTGTAATTTTCCTTTTAATGATATAATGACACGTGTGTGTATATATATATATATCTCTTAATAAGGTCACTTGGAATATGAATTAATCTTTTAGCTTTAAGTATTAAACTGCACAAGTATTGGGAAACTGCCTTCCAAATATGTGTAGCAGACCTAGCCTACGAACAATCTAAAATGTGCAATACACACCAACATGGCACATGTATACATATGTAACAAACCTGCACGTTGTGCACATGCACCCTAGAACTTAAAGTATAATAAAAAATAAAATAAAATAAAATGTGCAATACAGCCACTACATCTGTGAGTGCTGACCCAACACATTGTAGAAATTATCAGCTTTCTCCAGCTCATTTAGAGAAACAAAAATAAAAAATAAAAACAACATTAATACGCTAAAGACTAAAAAAGTTTTCTATAAAGTGCAAACTTTTGGTGAAATTTTTCTAAAACGAGTCAAGTGGATATTGACTTTACTTTGAATACTCGTCGTGACCCCAAAAATGTTTAGATGGAAATGCAGTGGGTGGAATTTTGCGTCAGCTTAAGAATCAGGCACAAGGAGTTCCCATCCCTTGCCTTTTGAACATACTTCTGGCATCTTTCTGAACTTGTTTTTGTTAATACAAAGATTATAACTCCAATTCAATTTACTGTAGAGCATTTTAGAATCACCAAATAATTAGTTCATTGACTTGGTTCTACCAAGTTCTATGTAAAGCTGACATTATTATGTACTCAGTTTATAGCCCTCCAACAGCCACGGGCTGAAATGTGCCCCGCTCCTACCCCAAATTTATATATTGAAGCCCTGACTAACCCCCAGTGCCTCAGAATGTGACTATATTTGGAGATAGGGTCTTTAAAGAGATAATTAAGTTAAAATGAGGTTGCTAGGATGGGCCCTAATCCAATATAACTGGTGTTCTTATAAAAAGAAAAAATTTGGACATAGACATAGACATACATAGAAGGAAGGCCATATAAAGGCATGGGGGAAGACAGCCATCTGCAAGCTCAGGAGAGAAGTCTCAGAAGAAACCAACACTGCTGACACCCTGATCTTGGACTTCTGGCCTCCAGGACTGTGAGAAAATATATTTTGGTTGTTCGTTTAAGCCACTGAATCTGTGTTACTGTGTTATAGCAGCCCCAGCAAACTAATACACCAACTCAGAAATATTTTCAGAAGGCCTCCTCTGACGCATAAACACATGAGTATTTTATTCTTCATTTTATCACAAGTCTGTAGATGATCCGCACTCCAACATAAGACACCTTAGGCTTTCTTAGAAAGAAATTTATATATAGTTGACCCTTGAACAATACAGGTTTGAACTGTATGGGTTCAAATCCACTTATATGTGAATTTTCTTCTGCCTCTGCCACTCCTGGGACAGCAAGACCAACTCCTCCTCCTCCCTTTTCTCCTCCTCAGCCTACTCAACATGAAAATAATGAGGATGAAGACCTTTATAAAGATCTACTTCCACTTAAATATGTTTATCTTTCTATGATTTTGAAAACATTTTCTTTTTTCTAGCTTTATTATAACTGTATATAATACATATGACATATAACATGTGTGTTAACCATTTATGTTCATTGGTAAGGCTTCCAGTCAACAGTAGGCTATTAATAAAGTTTTGGGGAGTAAAAGTTACGTGCAAATTTTCAACTGTGCAGGCGGCCAGCCCCTAATCCCTGCATTGTTCAAGAATCAACGGGGTGTGTGTGTGTACAAATACTTCCTGACTTATGATGGATTGACTTACCATTTTTTTAATTTTATGATGGTGCAAAAGTGATATGTGTTTAGTAGGAAATAATACTTCGAGGTTTAAATTTTGATCATTTCCCAGGCTAGCAATACATGCTATCTTGTGAAGTCGGGCAGCAGCAGTGAGCCACAGCTCCCACTCAGCCACGTAATCACAAGAGTAAATGACCAGTAGTGTACTCCACAGTGTATTATATTTAATGACTTAAATGATATATTCAACACTTTATTATAAAGTAGGCTTTGTGTTTAATGATTTTGTCCAAGTGTAGGCGAATGTACGTGTTCTGAGCACATTTAAGGTAGGCTAGATTAAGCTAGAATGTTTGGTAGGTTAGGTATACTGTATGCATTTTCTACCTAACAATATTTTCAGCTTACATTGGGTTTATCAAGATGTAATCCCGTTGTAAACTGAGAAGGATCTCTCTCTATATATGTAAAGATAACAAAATACCCTAATGAGAAATAAGACAACGGCATTCCAAAACAGAAGCAATAATTATAGTAAAGAAGGATCTTTTTTAAAGCCTTCAAAATTTAGCAATGAATCATAGCTTATGAAGAAGATAATAATGATGATACTACTTATAATATAGAAATCATAATCAATTCTCTTCTAGAAAGAGAGTTACAATATTATCCCTATTTTTAAATGGTGACATTGGCTTCCCAGGTATATATGATTTAGGGATACTGATAATAATAACAATATTTTATAATAACAAAATAATAAGCATTTACTGAATGCTCACTATATGCCAGGTTTTATACTAAAGTCTTATATGGTTTATCACTTTTAATACTCACAACAGCCCCATGAATTAGGTAATCCTAAAAATCAAGTTCAGAGATGCTACTGATAACCAATAGATTCAGAGCGCTGCTACATACTAGATGAACTGGAGCTGTTGGGCTGTTATAAAATCAAGTTTTTAAAAAGGCAGCTTGAATCCTTGGCCATCACGATGTCTATGGATTGTGTAAACCTTACCTGATGGCATTTCTAGATTGAAGGCATCCATAAGTTTTGACAATAGTTCTTGCAGTTCCTCTTCCTCCAGCTCATCCTTTCTCTCCTTGATGTTACCTGCCGCTTTCTTTTCCATGGTTGCCAGAGCAGGACTGCTCTTTTCAGCAGGAATCATTTTGGGGGTGTCCTGCTTCAGTCCCTCCTGACAACTGGGTAGGGCGCTAATGACTTTCCTTAGCATCTTTTGCGTTTGGCTTTGTGCCCTGGTGCTGTGCAAAGTGGTCTCTGGTGATTCTGAATTTCGCAGAACATGCTCTGCATTTGTGTGACTTCTGTGACTTCTGTCAACCTCATCAGGGTTAGGAAGAGGTTCCCATCTTGAAGCATCTTCAGTGGCATTCTTGATCTGCAAATAATCCCCTCCCTTTGGAACCTTTTCAGTTGAAGAATGGCCAACCTTGGTCCCCACACTTTGAAAGGAAGAAGATGAAGGACGGGGTGGCTGCAACCTTACCTGGGGAAACAAAACTTTATTTATGAAGAAATTAACGTTTATCTTACTTTTTCATAAATGCGTTACATTTCAACATTCCAACAGAACATTCTAATGCAAGACTTTTCTTTCTCCTTTGTAAATATATTATCATTACTATTAATTTTAATTTATTCTGCTAATTCTATGTCAACGTAAAACTCTCTACAAGAGTTGGAACAGCTCAGGTTCTAAAATAACAGAGGGAATAATTACAAGAAGTTTAGGAAAATCCTGGGTTCTAAAAAGCCCAGGTTCTAAAAATACCATAAGGAATTTCTGAAAACATAAGCGTATGTTGAATTGACAGATAAAAATTATTACAATAAAGCATTTTATAATAGTCTTTCTGGTAGGTGTGTTGTGAGGGGCTTCAGAGTAAGCCACAGGGAGAAAATTCAGGGACGTGCTCCACTTGAAGCACAGTTCTCAATGTGTGGCCCACAGACCCTAGGAGATCCCCAAGACCCTTCTAGGGTTTGTGATGTCAAAATTATGTTCATAAGGATACTTAGATGTTATTTGTTTATTGTATTGACATGTGCACTGATGATGCAAAATCAGTAAGTAAAGCTGTTGGTGCTTTAGTATGAATCAAGGCAGCGTCACCAAACAGTGCTAATAATCAAGATATTCTTCACCCTCATACACTAGCAGTGGAAAAAAAAAAAAAAAAGCCAGTTCTGCTTAAGAACGCCTTTGATGGAATAGAAAAATTCTTAGTTTTAAAAATACTAACACATGCCTTTTAAATATTGTGTGTGACGAAGTGGGAAGTGTGCATAAGACACTTCTGCTGTGTACTGAAATACAAAAGGATTGCCTCTTGTGTCAAAGAAAGACTGACAGACTATGGTTATTCAGACTTGGGTATTTGTCAAACAGTTTCTCAAAAATGAACAAAGCGAGAATGTCTCTGCAAGGAAAACAATTAACAGTATTTGCTGTCAGTTATAACAATTAAGGCCGGGCACAGTGGCTCACGTCTGTAATCCCAGCACTTTGGGAGGTGGAGGTGTGAGGATTGCTTGAGGCCAGGAGTTCAAGACCAGTCTGGACAACATAGTGAGACCCCCTGTCTACAAAAATAAATAAATAAAAATTAGCTGGGTGTGCTGGCATGAGCCTGAGATCCTGGCTAGCCACAAGGTTGAGGCGGAAGGATTGCTTGAGCCCCAGGAGTTCGAGGCTGCAGTGAGCTATGATCCTGCCACTGCACTCCAGCCTGGATGACAGAGCAAGACCCTGTCTAAAATGTATATTTACATACATAATAAACAGACTTTCAAACAAAAATTAGAATTTTGGAAAACTTGCATCCTACCACTATGAGCTTTATAGCTTTCCAATTCTTGCGCAATTTTTTAGTGAGATTGGTAGTGACATTAATGAACGTGAATTGTTTAGATCCTGTATAATAAAATGGATGAGAATTAGGACATTCAGCATAGCTCAGTGAACCAATATTTTCCAAATGATCAGTGTATAATGTTACACAATCATGCATGCTAGGAGACCCACTCAAAGACCGTGTAAGAACACTGGATTTTAATGAAACAATGTGACATAAATATAGTTTTAGATTAAATTCTCCTTTAAAAAGCTGTCATAAATCATGTCTTGGTGTAGTATTAAAGAGAAGTATGCCTCGGTATCTGAAAGGCTATTAATATAGTTCTCTCTTTTTCAACTGCAAATCTGGGTGAGGCCTGATTTCTTCAGATACTTCAACTGAAACACATTGCAGCAGATTGATTGCTGAAGTGGTTACAAAATTTCAGCTGTCTTTTATTAAGCCAGATATTTAAAGAGATTTGTGGAAAATATAAAGCAGTGCCACTCTTCTAAGGTTTTTAGAAAAACATATTGTTTAAAAATGTTATCTGTATATTTAATGGGTTTATCATTTTTATGTTTTCGTTAGTGAATACATTTTAACTTCTCAGTTTTAATTTGCATTAATTTTATTACCTATTTAATTTATTTAACAACTCAGTTTTGATTTTCAGTAATTTTATTATGTATTTTATTATTAATTTAATTTTCATTAATTCATTTTCATTTTGTTTCTGTGGTTATATCTATAACAATCGATATCAATACAAACAGATATAACCACAGAACCAAAATCCTCTCCAGATTCTCAAATATTTCTAAGAATGTACAGGGATCCTGGGATCAAAAGGTTAAAAAACCTATGCTATAAAGAATCACTTTGCCCCAAAGTCTATTGTTTATAAATATTACAGATCCTGTTGTCTTTCAATGGCACTACCTTCATGGAGGGATAGGATATAGCCTGGATGAGGAAGTGGGAGGTCAGGGTACAGGGAGAAGAGGCTGATCAAAGTAAGGTGGGAAGCTCCTCCTTTGGCTGAAGGACTCAAGGTTAGACTTCAGGCGGTCCAGATGGCCAGTATCTCTCACATTTTATACCTGTAGGTCCCGTCTTATCTGCTGGAGCTTGCTCCATAGACTATCCTGGTTGGTTTTGAGTTTGTAAATCTTTGTTTCAAATCGGCAACTTCTTTCTTCCTGGGAGGTGTATATAGCTTGCAACTTGTCTTTGTATTGGTTTAACTGTTTTTTAAGGAGCCTGAAAAGAGAACAGATTTGAGTGGTTTGGAAGGGCAAGAGGCCAGCACACTAATTAGAGCCCTGGTAAGATGTATTCCAGTCCTTTTTGTGGGAAAAGATGTTGGAAAACCCTGTGTCTCAACTATGTGTGTTTTTTGTTTGTTTGTTTGTTGGTTGGTTTGTTTCTTGAGGTAGAGCCTCACTCTGTCACCCAGGCTGGAGAATGCAGTGGCGCGATCTTGGTTCACTGCAACCTCTGCCTCTTGGGTTCAAGTGATTCTCCTGCCTCAGCCTCCTGAGTAGCTGGGATTACAGGCACCTGCCACCATGCCCGGCTATTGGGAAACCCTGTGCCTCAACTGTTATCTCACATTGATCAATATTGTTGACACTGTTTGTTCACCATGTGCAGCTGCCTTTGTGTGTATTATGGATATGATTCCACTAAGCATTCCACTGGCTTTAGAAGTATTTCAGAAAACTCACCAGGCATATTATAGATTCCTTTGACAGCTTGCCTCTACTGGCTACTTAAATAGGAATATTGACTTTATACATTATCCTTTTGTCTAGAAAGACTCCATTCAGAATGATAGTACACCTGTCATGGCTAAACACCCAACACTTCACCAGGAACACAGGGGAGGAATAATATTGCAATTCATGGATTATAGGTCTGCTTTGGCTTCTCTTTTTGTCTAGTTGTTCATTGGTTTAAGAACGAACTAAGAAGCTAGGTGTGCTCACTCGTGTGTGTGTGTGTGTGTGTGTGTGTGTTATCTTAGTGCTTTAGGAGGCCAAGTTGGGGTATCCCTTGAGGCCAGGAAATTGAGACCAGCCTGGGCAACATAGCATAGCAAGACCTCATCTACACACACACACACACACACACACACACACACACACAAATTAGCTGAGTGTGGTGGCACCTGTAGTCACAGCTACTTGGAAAGCTGAGGCAGGGGGATCACTTGAGCCCAGGAGTTAGAGGTTACAGTGAGCTATAATTACACCACTGCTCTCCAGCCTGGCTGATAGAGTGAGATGCTGTCTCTAAAAAAATATGAACCAAGTCGTCAGGGTAATCAGGGCAATTCTTTAAAACAAAAGGCAGGCTATGTTGCTCTTCTGCTCAGAACCCACCAGGGGCTCCCTCTTCATTTAAAGTAAACAGAAGTCCTTACAGAGGTGGACAAGCCCCACAAAGATGGCACAGACGCCCCCTTCCCTCTCTGAACTCATCTCTTGCTTTCCGGCTTATTCACTCCCCTGTGGCCATATGGAGTTCCTGGCTCCTTTTTGAACACCCCAGGCCTGTTCCCCACTTAGAGTCTGCTCTTCCACTCCCTCTGCCTGGACGCTCTTTCTTCTCCAGGTCATTGCTCAGTTCCCTCCCCCACCTTCTTCAAGTCTTTGCTCACAAGGCGCCTTTTCAGTGAGGCATTCTCTGACTGCCCTATTTGAATACACAAACGACAACCCCAACCTCTCCTCCAGCATGGCCAAACTCTTCCCTTCTTTATTTGTCTCTGTGGCATTCTGCCATGTCTAATTACTACAAAGCCTGAAGAGTCCAGCCTTCAAACTTCTAGGCAGCCATACACTGTGACATACTACAGGCTTTTAAATTATTTATTACTTATTATTTTACTTATATATTACCTACTCTACTCCCTATTTAATTGCTTATTGTCTTTTTATTCTGGCAACTTTGCATGTGTGTGTGTGTGTGTGTGTGTGTGTGTGTGTGTGTGTTGCCATGTCTTCTGCACCAGGCCTAAAATAGTTCCTGTCATATAGTAGGTTTACAACTAAAATTGTCTAAATAAAGTAGTTTTATTTGATCACTGCTGTTAGCATATTTGTGGAATTTGTGGAAATTGGCTGTCTGGTATGAAATGCAACATGTCTCAGTGTTAGAACCTGCAAAATTCCTAATTGCATAGAGCTTGGGGAGGTCTTAAAATTTAGTTTGGGCCCCCATGCAAAGCAGGCATCTCTGAAAGATAGCCCTCTAACTTCCAGACAGTCATACTCAGGTGAAACAGGAGTCTGACTCTAAAATCCTTGCTCATAATTGGAGTTTCAGGTATATCTTTATGTGGGTTTCTCAGAAAGGAGTCAGCCCAGGGGTTTTACACAGCCAGCAACAAAGAAACATTCTCAGACAGCCTGTCTAGATGGTGTTCTCTGGACCCAAAGTGTTGTGCTTATTATGACCACTAATGATGTCAGGCTCTCTCTTTTCCTGATGTCCACCACCCGTGTCCGCTTCCTCCTCTCTGGCCCATCCACCAGGCCTGGACAACTAGAAGACACGCATCCCTATCCTTCCACAATCCAGGTGGAAGAAGGTGGGACTCTGCCAGAAATCCAGTGCTTTTCTCCTTCTGCATCTTTTTAAAGAAGAGATGCTTACGGGTTGTTTCTAGTAAATACAATTCACATGGTGCCAATATCTTCAGCAACTGGGAGCCCAGGACTTTCCAGGCAATTATCTACTCATAACAAACAGTTCAGGTTATCTAAGAAATAATTCCTTTCAAACAATTTGAAATCTGCCTTTCTATACTTTTTATGTGTATTTCTGCTTTCTGGTGGGGGCTAAGCAGCTTGAATCTCCCATGTATTAACTGTTCAAATGGAACACAAATACTCCCTGGGCAAGCTAATCATGCCCAAAGCAGTGAAATGTTACTTACTTTGTCCATTACTGATGTGGTTTGGCTGTGTCCCCACCCAAATTTCATCTTGAATTGTAATCCCCATAATCCCCACGTGTCAAGGGCAGGACCAGGTGGAGGTAATTAAATCATGGGAGCAGTCTCCCCCATGCTGTTCTCATGATAGTGAGTGAGTCTCACGAGATCTCATGGTTTTATAAGCATCTGGCATTTCCCTCACTTGCACTCACTCTGTTCTGCCACCCTGTAAAGAAGGTGCTTGCTTCCCCTTTGCCTTCCACCATGATTGTAAGTTTCCTGAGGCCTCTCCAGCAATGCGGAACTGTGAGTCAATTAAACCTCTTTGCTTTATAAATTACCCAGTCTCAGGTATTTCTTCATAGCAGTGTAAGATCGGACTAGTAAATTTACCTAGCACAGTGTAGATTAATAATAGAAAACTAGTAATTTAATAGTACTCTTTCTGTTCATGTGTCTGAGACTGTTGCTTTTAAAATAATCAGTGACATAATTGGCTATCACTGAACTTGCAGTTAACTATCATATATATCACAGGTCTTTTTCACACTACTTGTGCATATGGGCCTGCAATTGTGGGATTTTCCTTTAATCCCGTAAAATTTGGTCTTTATTAACTGCCTCACTGTTCCAGTCTATTAAATCTCAGTGATCCAAGACTGTAATTCAGTTTATTACCTAGGGGTTTTGGTATCATGTCACATACGCATTTGAGAATTGGGCTCTCTACAGTTTCATCCAAATTATTGATAAAAATGATGGTATAGGCAGGAACAAAGAGCTTCCTGTCATATTTCATTCAATAATCAGCCTTACACTTTGGTATACTTTGTAGTGATAAATACTTTGGTAGGATACAAATGGTGTAGATAGTAGACATGGATTATATCAAAGGGAATATTTAGTTTAAAATAATTCATTTTAAATAATCATTTGAAGAACTAAGTTAAACAAACTAAACTTTAAAATTTGCCTTTATTTCTACATTTTCAATTTTAATATAGCCTTTCCATTGCTTTACTACTTTAAAAATGTTTTCTAATTTCTTTTTCTTATTCCATGAAAAATATTAAAACTACTTTTAAGATTTAAATTATTTTGATACTTTAAAAGTGTTTATTGAACTCCTTTTCATGAGTTATCACAGAATTTAGAAAATGTTTTATATATTCTGTACATTTAGATTAGGAAGTATATTTCATCATACATACATACATAGAATTGCTAGTTTGTTGGACGTCTACTGGATATTAAGCATTGTGCCTGAAAACAAAGTTTTTCCCTCAGGGGAAGCTTCTTACTGGGGAACCAGGAATTCTATCTTCTAAAGGAATAACAGCAGGAGCTAAGAGCTCAAGAAATGATTAGTTCCTTAAGACACAATCAGAAGATGATAAACAGTTTCCATTCAGCCTAATAACCCTAGTAGAATGTTAGATGCTGTTGGATAACAAGAACTAATTTCTTTAGAAGTAGGTAAAACACATACATAACACAAGATACACACAAGAATCAATACTTCACTAAAAGTGCTTAACCAAATTCTAAGGAATAAAATCAGGCAATCAAAAGTCAGAACTTAGCCTGGTGATTTTTATTATGCTTAACTGCTCAAATAGAGTCAAAGCTCCCTTTTACTTTCATATTGGAATCACAGGATTTCTTGACTTAAAAGTTTCTCTCAAATTAAAAAAAAAAAAGGTAAAATTTTTGTAGAAAATTTTTCTATAAAAGCAAAGGAAATGCTGTGGATTTCTCTCTGCGATCGGTATTTGCACATATTCATGTGGCTCCTACCTTCTTTCCCTGTGGAGAGCATTAATAGATTCATGAGTCCTCGGCAGTTCATTCCTAGTGCTGACCATGGTCTAGAGAAGGAAGAAATAAGAAAATAAGTTTTTGGTTTGAATTTAACCCACATTCCTAAAAATCCAGTATAAGAACATGATAATGATTTTTTTCAAAGAAATTCAATCTATTTCAAAAAGTGGCTGCTGTTTGGGTTTACATTCATGTATGATGATGCCGATGTTTATACTCTCAAAGTACAGCTGCATATCTAATTTCACAAAAGAAATTAAAACAGTTTTATGTTTTAGAAATAACATCACATTAGTCCTTTGTTCAAGTTAAGTTGCTACCCTGAATGTCTTCTTCCCCAAAGGCATCTACAAGAAGCAGTTGGGTCACTTTCTTTCCCTTAGCTTTCGAAGTCTCTTACTTCTATCACCTACCTTTAACTCTCACTGTCTTGTCTTTCCTTTGCTTGCTATCTGCGTGTGCACTACAGTCATCATTTCTTTTCAAATCCACCAAG